TCAAGCACCTTGTGTCTTCTGTAGATCACAGTCTCAGGTGGACTCAGGTTTGCTGGGCTGCCCAGACTCACACTGACTGGCACATCTGGCCACTGAAAGTCGGTGAGAGTGGACTAAGACTTGCAACCATCTTCATCAACAGCAAAGCCCTAACCCTCACAGTGTCACAACACACAGACCAAGCAGGATAAAGACTTAGCACAAGTGCTTCATTAACAACTGGGACCAACCACAAACCTTTTGCTGCATTGTACTTATGGCAAAATTTTCAAAAGCAACACGGGCACAGCACAGGGTGTGAACGCACCCAGACTATGGCACAGTCTGGGCAGGTGTCATGGGCCCTAGCACTGACTGATGCTCAATTTGACAAAAGCCTTTGCTTCTCCACACTGCATTCTACTCTCCAGGGCATTTCCGAAGAAAGATGGCACCAGAATTTCAGAAACAAAAAATTATATCTAAAAAGCATACAGGAATTTACAACTTTCTAAAGAAAACAAATGAAGTTCATGTCCAGCATGAAATGCATAGAAAGGGGGCTGGGAACTGAATTTGCCTAGATTCTAACTCTTACTTTTAGAAGCATATATTTGAACCTTTTCAGACTTAACTTCCTTTCCAAAATCAGACCATCAAGATCGTAAGAACTAACAGTTGTACACTAAAGGTAAAAGACCTCTATGTCTTGCATCCACTCAAAAGGTATTGAGCAGTCGCAGTCTTGGATTTTAGATTGATGATGATGCAGAGAGAAGTTCACACATGATGTCAGGGTAAAAAATGATTAACAACTATCCTTACATTGATAATAAATGCATTTTCAAATTACACCTGCCCTGGGAACCATTTACTGCCAGAATGAGACCATCATTTGCTGTTGGAGCCAGCACCCTGCACAGTGTGACAGGAGTTCCCCAGTCTTCTGTAAAGGATTTCAGTCACAGAGGAAGGCAATCCAAAATACTGCCAAGAGAACAGTAAAATACCTTTTCCCTATTTCTTGCAACTAATTTCTAACGCATGGCTCGCAACATCGCATCAAACATCATCTTTCTACCGGAGAAGGTGATGATTTTCAGAGGTGAGCGTCAACGTGCTCTGTACATCAGCTAAAAACACATCCAGAAACACCAGATTCTAGAATTAGAGCATAAATAGTAAACTGTGGTCCTTTGAACATTTTTCTAGAGACAGCATTTTTGGGTTCTTGGAAGCTTAAGTCTCAGACTCCTCCTAAAAGAAAAGGTAATTAAATAGTTTGGGCCTTTCACAGTGTATTTGCATGTTTTCCATCGGCAACACAAGTGTAATGAGAGATGTTACATTCCATAGTAAACAGCATATGGCTATCCAGGAAACTCTCAATATAGGGACAAAAGTGTTTCTACATGATTGCTACGTGAGGGGCAGAGTGCCTTTGTCACTGCACTGGGAGCTGCAATCACTGCAAAAACCCCTCCAATTCCAGGGAACAGCAAACTTCTCCTAGACTAGAAGAGAACAGGATCAGTCACCAAGTGACATAACAGTGGAGAGAACAAAATATCCAAGAGGAAAAAAACAATCTAATCTTTCTCCTCCTCTTTTTAAAGAACTGAAAACTAAAATACGTCAATTTTTTTCTTTTGTTACTGCAAAATACTGTTTAAATGGGGGTTGCTTTGTCTAGTATCTAACACACTGTTTTACATACAGTATGTACCATAAACCCATATCAACATTGTAAACATCCCATCTAAATCCTGAGCATTTTGCTGATTGGATACAATTAGTTTTCTTTCTTTTTTTTTTTTCCCCCTAAACTATTGCACAGGTTGTGGTCTGGGGTTCACACCACCAAAGGACTACACTAAGTGGAAAACTATCAAGATCTAGCCTCCCAAAGGTTTCGTAACTGCAGGTCAAAAGTTTTGCCTCCTTTGGACTAGAAAATATTATAAACCCCCCTAAAAATTACCTGCTGTGTTATCTACTAACCCCAAAGCAAAAAGAAAAAATAAAATTGTTTTTCACTTTCTTGACATAAAATATCTCTGTTATTTTCTTTTGTGTTACATGTAAGCCAACCTGGAAATTTCCTAATCATTGCCTGCCAGACATGCACTTCAAAGACTGAAAATCAGATTCATAAGGAATGGACACCAGCAGATATTGGATTTGATTAGTAACTATTTGGAGTGCAGAAAAAGGTCACCTCTTACCAAGTTAAGCAATTGCAGTTACTTCACTAATACACTGGTATTCCTTCCATTTTGGATAAAATCAATGATCATTCTCATTTTAAGCCTGTCAGCAATTTTTTTCACTCTAAAGACCCGAGTTAATCAGACTGTAGCCACAAACAGGCTTGAGTAGCAAAGGAGTATCAATTTCTGACAGCTGCACTGGCAATCTAGAAAGAAAGCTTAAATTAGAAGCTGACACTAATTTTACTTAATGGCAACCAAAAATGATGACTAGAAAAATATAATGATTCCATTTCAGCCATTTTTAGGATATTTTTTCTTAGTTCAACCCTGTATATGCCAGCTTAGAGGAATATGTGGAACTCCACTTACAGGATTTCGCCTCATTCTTGAACACTTCTTTGTAATTTTACCAACTGGGCACCCACTAACACCTGCTGCAATATAATTTTTTCATCTTCTAGAAAAGGCAATATAAAACCCAGTATTAAGATCCAGTTGTGGTGATTATGTACTGAAAAGTAAGAAAAAAGTGCTTGGAGATGTGACATTTTAAAGCATCTCTGTAAGTTTAATTTTTAAAGGACAGAATGAGGAATAATAAATCCTTCCCATACTATAAGGTATGCATATCACTTGTACAAGAAAAATCCAAATAAAATGATCAATCAAAGTGACTAAAGAGGTGTGAAAACAGTGCAAACTGGAATTGTTGGAGACTGGCTGAGGTCTTGGAGATATCATTTTTTCTTTTGAGTGAGTTCTGCCATGCCCTTTGCCTTTAAAATAACAGTGCAATTTGCTTTTCTGATTTCATTGGAAAGCACTTACTAAATAGTTCTGCCAATAAGAGCATTCAGAACTGTGCTCTAGTCATTCTCCTGAAAGGCAAACTTTCTACTGCTAAGAGTAGAAATCCAGAATGGGATGATATCAGGCAAATGCAACCAGTAAAAACCCCAAATCCTGTTTTGAGCGAAAGTTCACTCTGCAGAAATGCAAAGCTAAAAGAACCCCTGAAGTAATAACACACATGTTGATTGGTTTTGATAGAGAATGTTTTCCAACGTTTTTGGGGAGGTATCAATAGGATCATGAAATTTGGTGAACGTGTAACAATGGCAAAAAGTGATGAGTGTAATGTTAGAAATTTAATACAGAAAAGACTTCTACAAACTCTGCCTTTCACAAGCAATCCTCTTCTTCGTAAAGGGCTGCAGGATCAAAGTATAAAAAGTATATATAGTCAAATAATTTTAGAGAGATACTGAGCTTTATGTATATAATTCTTTCTGTGGGAACAAGTCTCTAAATTGTGTGGTACTGGTTGGTGCGGCCAGTCCCCAAGAGCATTAATATTTTGAAGCCTTGATTCTATAGACCACTGGCTTCCCATAAGGGTCTATACAAATTACTCAAGACTTTGTGGGGTTTTGAAATGGCTACACTGTATAAAAATGTTTTTGTATTTATTTTTTAAAAAATTATCTTTACAAAACAACTTTTCCCTTTTTTTCTTTTTCTTTTTTTTTTTCTTAAAGATATCATTATCTACAGGAACCCATAAAAATTTTTCCATATTTACATCTAGATAGCTAATCATTGACAAATATAATATCGTGAAATAAAATATTGAAAGTGAATATCCAACTTTTTAAATAGACATTTGGCTCACAGCATAAACAACAGAGAAAACAAATGAACAGAACAAACAAACAAACAAAAAAAAGATCTGCTGTTCTTACAGGCCTGATCTTTTTCTTTCTCTTAAAAAAAAAAAAAATGAAAAAAGGAAAAAAATGTATATCGGTGGGACCAAACATGCTGCTTCTAAGCAGAATGCCAGCAACAAACTGCTCCCATCCAGCACCTCACACTGAAAAACCGAAGGTCATGTGAGTGGTTGCTGAGACACACGAGTGTCCAGTGGATGCAGGACTGGCATCTGTCCCCCACGCTGCTCCTAATGCATTGCCTGCATTGCTCTGAGGAGACAATGGCCTCCCCACTCCCCTTCTTTTGCTCTCCCAAGATGCAGTTTAGCTTTGTTCTTAAATGATATATTTGGTCATTGATGCACGGAGGTGTTAGGTTGCGGTAGGAACTGACAGTGCGCCTCTCGCTTCCAAGGACACGTTTGCTCTCTGTTCCCTCCTGCCCAAACACGCTGCCCCACACAGCCATTCACACAGAGGGCCAGGTCCTCTCCAGGGGAACAGAGCAGTGTCACACAGTCCCTCTCGACCCCCTTTGGAAAATACACCTTCCTGGCACGTCCCTTTCGCCAGCAGCGCGGGAAGTGCTGGGGAAGAGGAGGAGCCCGCACAGCCAGACAGGGCAGGCTGGCAGCCTGGGCCAGTGTGGTCTCTGCTGAAAGGCTGCTGCCTGCAGCTGGAGTGCAAACTGGGACTTGGAGGCCTATGGGGAATGCAGAGCTCCTCAAAATGGGCTCCATTTCCCTGGTGGGCACAAATTCTCTAAAATCCAGGCCTTCTGTTTGTTGTCATGTACTGGGACACGTGCTACAGCTAGTGTAATAAGAACTCAAACTATGCTATATTTCCACGCATTCACTCGCACTTGCAAACACCCCCTCACACACACATATGTGTTGGCAGGATATATCAGCATTCATATAAAGCTTTGGAACTTTTATCCCTCAGCATTAAGAGCAAAAGCTACTTAACTGGTACCTTACTGTTAACTGCAAATGTTCTTCAGAAGCAGCATTTCCTTAGATAACTTTCTTCTGTAAATATCACAGTGACCATAATATATCACTAAATGTATTTTGCTGAAGTGTGCAGCCAATAACCCTGGCTATATATATATATTTATATAATTCCACCCACCCCCAAATCTCTTTAAAGAAAGTCTGTAAAAGCCGGTGTTGCAGTGTGAAAGCTTCCTTGAGCATAGGAGTTTAAACAATGTACCTCACCATAAAAAGGAAAGAGAAACAAATTAAACAGCTGTAGGCGCATTATCCCATACTTCTACAGTGTTGTGTCTAAATGCTGTGCTGGCTTGAGAAAGAGTCTGTGCACAAGTCAATCTGTCTTAAAATACTGCTGTAAATATTGTCATTGGTTTGGTTCTACAGTTGTGTTCTCCTCTTCATCCTTCTTGGGCTTCCCTTTCTCCTCCTCCTCTTCCCTGATGGCCTGGATTTGTTCTGAAGATTGGTGCAGTGGGGATTGCTCTGCCCCTTGCTTCTCTGACCCAGCTAACCTCTCCTCGTCCTCAATTACTTTCTTCCACATTTTATGGTTCTGAAGCAGGTGCTGAGTGATCTGACAGTAGATTTTCCTCCTCTTGAACTTCTTCTTTCCTGTAAAACACCATGTGACATTAATGCACTGGTTTCTGCGAGAGAAGGAAAAGGGACTGAAGGTGTAGGAAGTAGACAGGGTGTACTATGACATATAGGAACTTGACCAACAGAATTTTAAAACCACAAATTTAAACAGTCTTAAAATTCAGAAAGCTACACCTCTCCAGACCTCTGGGAAAGCAAACTGGTTTCCTGCACAGTTCGAGCCCCAGCTTCATCCTATCTCAGGCTACATGTTGTGCCTGACTTTTCTGCTCACAGAGGCATCTAGTGCTTGAATGATTATGCATAAAGCATGTTGTTGAGCTGTTTCTGCTCATTTAATATCAAGTACTTAAAGACTCTGATCAGCCTCTTTCATAACACACATTATTAAATTCTGTGCCCTCCCCAAACCCAATGGATCCCTGCTGATTGTCTGAGGGAAAAAGAATTGTTTTCTCCACATTTTACCTTTGAGCTGAGCTGTAGAAGGATAATGAATGAAGGGTTACTAATGAAGCATTAGTGATCAAAGGAGGGAACCCACTCCTATGTTCCGTTGTCAAATCAGAGATCTACTATTCTACCATTGCAGTGGAGGTGACCTTGAAGCTTTAGCACAATATTGCTTTGGCAGCAGTCTCACCACTGAAAAAGTATTCATATAGCCAAATACTATCAGGGAGCTCAGTTGTCTTATTTTGAAGCATCAGTCCCCTGCTGTTAACCTATAAAGTGTTTTTGTCACTGGTGGCTCTCATGGCTCCTGACACAGCTGCACTACAAGTGTTTTGCTCTCTGAAGGGTGTTTTGTTCTGTCAGTATAGTCTGTCCAACACAGATTGTTAACTCCTTAACAGTACAAAGCTTGAAAATTTTCCCTGGTCATTAACAGTGCCACTGGCAGTCGCAGAACTGAAATAACAACCCCTCCAAAGACAACTGCTGATTTCTTTTTTAAAGAATGTGACGTAAAAGAATGTTTTGTACCAAATAAATTTGCGTGGATTAGTATTTGCAGGTTGCCTAAAGTATGTCTGTGTCAGGATCCAAAACGTTTAGCCCTTGAAGCTTTTGAACTGGAAACAAAGAGCTTTTCACTGAGCACAGACCAAATCCAACTCAATCCTTCATTAGAAAGCCCTTGGTTCCCTGTAGGAAACCTTCAGGTTTAGCACTAATAAGAAGCCCCTACCCTGCCAATGCCTCAAGCAGGACATTCTCTCCTGGGTTTCCTGAGTGACCCCACATCTTGTTGCTCTCTGCAGACACCAGTGAGCAGTTGCTGTGGTGTTAAAATTTGTCTGAATACCTGAAGACTGAGACTGTTTAATTCTTATACTTGCATCAGACCTTCAGTGAAAGTACACGCTCCTGTGCAGTAACAAATATTATTTCAAGCTACCTTGAGGTTTTATAACTCTTAAATTTATCTCAACTGCTTCAGTGAATTAATCAGGACCTAGTTGAAGTGTTTTCTGCTGCAATTATATTTCTATCTGCCTGAAAGGCATTTCCATCAAGAAAAAGATCTTTACTAACATCTATACAACTCTTCATATCTATGCATCTGACATTTCAACCTTTTATTTTGTTTCACTGAGAAAGTTTAGAACATCCAAAATTTTGTTGATCATTATATAAATTTCTTACGACCTGTAAACCCCCCATACTGACACAAAATAAGTCGTAGATTCCTGATTCAGACTCACAGTCACACAGAATTTAGGGAACCTGAAGAAAACAGTTTGCAACACATTGGCATGATTGTGAAGATTAGTAGCCCACATTTGGTAAGGAGGAAGTAGGAAGAATTTGTTGGATATTTCACAGCTTCTGATACATTCATTTTTAAAGTTTTGAAAACTGTAGCCTAAAAACACCAGGTTATGGTAAACACTAGTAAAGTTCTATAGCAGAGTAGAATGTGAAAAAGAAAACAGAAAAAAACTAAAATGGAAAACAGAAATCAACTAAAAATGGTCTGTTTTCAATGTGACAACAGTTAATAAAGATCAGTGCTTTTAACCTGAAAAAAGCATTGTTGGACTCTGCTAGTGGTGATACAGAAGATAAGTATACAGAGATATGAGATGAAAGGAAACTGGGGATTTTAGAGGTGAGACAGTCCAGTGGATATATGAGAACATCCTTCATCTTTCTTTTTAATACAGCAATAAACATTTCAGACTTTGAAGTCTGTGTTGGTTACCTATCACATACACTTTCCTCCTGGTAGGCAATTCCATAAAGGTCAATCTGCCACAAACATGTGGCTCTGCCTGCTATTACAAAACTGAGGGATCCTAAGATGTTAAAATCAACCTGTGTATGTGTTATATTACTTAATGTTTGCTGTTCTCAACATTTTTAATGCATGAGAACCTGCTAAACCTAACACACATGCAAGTGTGTGTGTGAACAACAGCAATGATTTCTTAAATACAAACCATATACCTCTGGAATTTACTAGAGATAAAAGGTTAATTCTGTACATCAGGAGACATAGGCTTTAGTCGCTCATGTGACTTATTGCAATCATCAACTCTTTCTGCTTCTCAGTTTCCTCAGTGGAAAACAGGGATGATACTCAGGTAAGGGAGGGCATGAAAATGTGTGGGAAAGAACAGAAAAAGTGAGGCTGTTAAAAGAAAAAGCTCTTTATCGATATTTCACTAGCACACTTAAGGTTGGTGCTTCCTAGAAGGGGAGGGAGAGGAAGATGACCCAGAGGAAGGAAATAAAAGAACCGTAGTAGAAAATTCAGAGGGAGAAAGAACGTGAAAGAAATAAAAAGGTAAAGCATGCGGCATTAAACTGATAAAAGAAATAGGTCTACAGTTGCAGTCTTTTCTCTTAAAGATCACTTCCCATGAGTGCCTGGAATCTCCTTTCAAAGTAAAAAGTTTTCAGTATGACAAGTACTGGCACTGTGTGCCTTCTGGAGGAGAGGCAGGAAACTATCAGCTTTAGTTACTGATTAGCCAGAAGGGTCAAGTGACACAGCTCCCAGCACACAACACAGCCATGGTCAGAGCCAATTCTCTCGTCACTCTTCTCCACACATTACCTTGGAGAGGTTTGCATTAAAATACTTCCCCTGTTAAAAACCCTTTTACTGCACCAGCACCTCAGACCCTCATTTCATGGTAATTCATGGAAATTATGTGTTTGCCTTGAAAAATCTTCTCCAAATCGTCCTTTATTCAAGTGAGATTGTTGCAGTCTACTAACACCAGTCCTGAAAGAGTCTAGAAAGCCCTCATGCAGAGATGGGTGATCCACCACCAGAAACCTCAACTGAAGGTAGAAATGAGTAGTAGATATGAACTGCACAGTTCCTGAAACCACGGAGCATCTCCATTACCAACATAACTGGCTACATGCCAGTGTCTCCAAGGACAGCACAGACTCACTGTCACTCTGGAGAGGCCTGTGTTGAACCTGACCAGCTCACAGTCTCTGCTTAGTTTTTTGGTCACAATACGGAACTCGTTCTGTCGAAAAATATAAACGTGAACAACTTACTGGATTCGGCATTTTCACAAGTTTCCATTTCTGCTGTTTCTTCCTCTTCTTGCTCATCAGTGTCTCCTGATTCATCACTATCTTCTATCCACTTTCCTGGCATCAGCCCCGCTGAGTCGTAGGAGTTACATAGTGGTCCCACAATGTGAGTGATGAAAGATTCCTGGAGGTGTGCCAGCTGAGGGGCAGAGCGGTCCATGAAAGGACTGATTGGCAAGCCCAGGCTGGCCTCTTCATCACCCTGGAGATGGAAAATAGCAGTAACTTCTCTGAAGTAAATGAAACAAAACTGTGTCACAAAAAGGTAAAGCACATCCAACCAATTAAAAATGATGAAAGGAAAACAATTGAACTCCAATGCCACTTCCATGACATTGCCACAGTGCCATCATGTCAAATGGTTAATCAAAGTTACAGCTCTTTTTTTGTGACAGTGCAAATTGATCAAGGATGTTTTTGATCAAGGATGAATTGATGGCTGGGTAGAATGCTGCCCATTGCCCTTGTCCTGTACTTTACATTGCAAGTGTGAAAATTTGGAAGTTTTTATTTTATTTGTTTCTTCACATTATTTAAAAAAAACATCCCTTCTGATTTTGTGATTCTTAGTTCCCAGTAACCTTGTAGTCAGCCACCTGTTTACACGGAATGAGACTGAACTTCTACAAACAAAGGCTATCTCACTGAACTAGTTTTCTTACTAATCTTTTCCTTACTATACATAGCATGGAGATTTGGGTTTTGGGTCATAAGTATTGGTTTCCTGGGACTATTAGAATGATCCCTACGAAAGCAAAGATAGTTCAAAAGCAGTAAACCTTTCCCATGAAGCTTTTTGTTAGTTTTGCTTGGAGAGAGAGGGTAGAGGGAAGGTAGAGGAAGACTTTTTTCTTTCTCCTCTCACGATGTAAAATAAAGTAAAACTTTATTGCAGAACCAAATCTGACATACTCACAGCAAAGCTTCTGGTGACATCACTGAGTTGTCAGCTGAGTAGACATGACAAGACCAGATGTCATCTCCCCAAGAAAAAAAATCTAATTTACCTAATCAAGCTTGATATATAAATTCATTTTTTAATACAATACAGAGTTCTATATTTGAGAACATAGTTTAGAATTTGGAGATACATTTTCAGTTTCCATCACTTTACAGATTGCCTATATTTATTTCCTTGTAAAGTAAATTTCCCAAAAGTCATGGACTTTGTATCTAGTCAAAACTGTGTCTGTATCTGTATTTGGTGAAGGCCTAAGAATGAGAGCTACATTTTGGAGCATGTACAGCAAATGGCTCACTTCCTTTTGTGTTTTGTTTGTTGCTTTTTTAATAACCCACCCCTAAATGTTATGTTCAATCATTAGACACAAAATACTATTGTTGACAAAACACTGAAACATGCCATCCATTCTTGAAATAGCAAACAAATTAAGAGGTGGCAGCTTGCTCTTCTTTACAGCAACATAATGTGAGATTTCCTGTTTTTGAGCTGTCAGTAGTGGGAAGAATGTTGACTGTTGAAATGTTTACAAGTTCTTTTTTCATATTCTGCTAAAACATTATTTATTATGTGAAAAGTCTTGCAGTGTGTTTTTTGTTTCTATGTAATATGTCTAACCTGTCTTCAAACAAGTATGTTGAGCATGTGAAGGGAAGAGAAGGAAACTTCCTGTAACAATATGACACTGGATTTTGGATATTTCCATACAACACATTTTTAATAGAGTTTTATTTATATGGGAGTGAAATTCTTCAAACGAACTGGAGTTCATTAAAAGAAAGATATTTTATGATTTTCACAGCATAGGTTGAATTTACATGTGTATGCTTTTTGATAATAATTCCAGGGAAATTCAAACTTTCCATAATGTTCTCCCTTTTAGAAATGAGAATATGAAGACTTTTTCCTTCTTGGAAAAAAAACTGATGATCAAAAGCATGGTGAAGATGGTTTGATACACCTCTCGTAGCACATCACATGACAGAAAAACAGATTTTATCTGAGGTTAAATGAACTGAGAATCTAACTTAGCCTTCTTAATGCCAAAAGTAAGTCCAAAAAAGAAAATGTTCTGAGTCCCATTTCTGAATGATGGAAAATAACCCAGATTCCTATTGTGGAACAGATAATGTGGTATCTTCCCACACATGTATCCTCCTAAGCTTAATTCGCTATCCGACACTTGGAGCAGTTACTTCCCTCTGACACTATTTATGTTGGATCAAAGGAAAGTCATATTATTATATCTGACTAACAGGTTTTGTCTGCATGCAGCAGTCACCCACATAAGGTGTGATCATCACCAGAAATGTGAAGCACAATTCATTTGGACAGTTGTAATGAAGAAGAAAAGAATTTCCTAAAAGAAAATTTGGGAGATGAAGGTTGTTTTGGGACACACTCCTTGTCTTTCAGAAAAAAATGAAAAGAAAAATGGAACCAACTATATTTGTAATAGATGTAAGGTTCATTGGGTTTTTTTGCGTGGTTTTTTTTTTCCTCAGGAGATCTCCAATAAATGAAGGAGCTTCAGGTCAGTGTCTGAATTTTGTCCCTTTCCCCGCTTCTTTACATACTCCAGAAGACAGTAGTAAAACCTGTTTGTTTTTTTTCCAAACTGTAAGTGCAGGAAATTTAAAGGAAGCTGAAAAGGTTTTAAAAGGGATTAGTCTGTGACTACAAGTTACTGCACAGCCTCCCCAAGAAGTCTGTGGGATGTCTGGTTCAGTGATTTCGCCTGTTTGCTTCATCTGGAAAAGACAGGATGTGGAGTTTAATCTAACTAGCCCATTCAAAATATGTTCCCACTCAGGAAACAGAGGAATAGTGTGGGAACAGCCCTGACCCTTGCACTCAGCAGGGCTAAATAGGTTATAATGAGAAAAGGTTCAATTAAGGGCTCCCTTACACCTAGAAAGAGAGGACCAGTGCCTGGCTGTACTCCCAGGTCTTTGTAAATCAATCTGTGGCTGTCCTCCTTCCTTGTGCTACCATCAGCAGAGCCTTGCATAATTAGTGCAATTGTACTGACAAACCTTCTGAAAGCTGGAAGTGTTGTCTTAAAAAATAACAAATGAGTCAGGACCAATGTGTAGGGAGTTTGTGATAAACTGAAAGTCAATGTTACAGTTGTGCTCGGCACCATAAAGGTTTTGTGCGTGTGTGAACACAGATGTGGCCCATGGGGAAGCTAAAATAATTCCTCTGCTCTGTTTAGATCATCTCAACAAGGATGTTGAGTCCACTTTTGGAGACCACGTGTCAATAAAAGTGTGAGACACCTGGAGTGACTGCAGAAGAGAGCCATGAGAACTGGTTGATATCTTGAAAGGACTTAGAAGGAAGGATGAAAAGACAGTTTGCATGAAAGAACACGGAAAGGCAGACATGATGACCAAAAACAAAAAAAAAAGAGGAATGGAACACTTGTTCACCATGATCACTGTATGGATAGACTAAAACAGTTAAGCCTTGTACAAATATCATCATCAGAGGTCTTTGAGGACACACCAGAAGCTTCAGTGACAAGGGACTTTTACTGGTCCAGTAAAAGGATGGATTAGTGTAACTCTAGCCATCCTCTTCTCCCCTATCTCTATGATTTTTACTCATCACCAGCACTATCATGCTCCAGGGCTGTTCAACACCAGACATGCAACCAACAGATACCACTTTGGACACGCATTTATTTACCTGTTCATAAAACTCATTGACGATGCCTTCTGTCCACTGCAGATGCAAATCTTTGCATTTTGCAGGCCCGTTTATGTCGGCCAGTTTGATGCACATTTGGCAAACCAGCAAGCGGTCGTTCTCGTTAGTCCAGTCAATTCCAACATCATCATTCACCTAGTGGACAGACAAAAGAAAACCATGACAGTAATCCTGGGCAAAAGGATGCATCCACAGAGGAAGTTCAGCCCTGGGATATTGCACAGTATATTTAGCTTTTGAACAAAATCACAAGCATAACCCCAGGCAGAAATAAACAATCAGCTGTAGGGCAATAGAAAAATAAAAAAGGTGAAAACCAAAGAGCATTGAGATTAATAATGGAAAATCAGTATTTGCTAGGGCAACAAAAAAATGCAATCTTTCCATGACATTTTCCAAGAAGTTAATATCTAATTGGTGTACAAAGATAAATTACCATCAAATGCCATGGTGATTCAATTGCAGTGTGAAGACACAAGTAACAAGTTTATTTCCCTATTTAATCTAGTATGGCTGAAATTATTTCATAGAATCAGCTGGGTTGAAAAGGACCTCTGAGATCATCAAGTCCAACACTGCATTTATTTTTTTTTTTTTTTTTTTGGAAATTCAGTCTAGGTTTCCCCCCATTCCGTACTCTGGAAAAATCCAATCTGGGTTTTCCCCTATTCTGTACTCCCGACAAAATCCAGTTTGGGTTTTCCCTCATTCCATACTCCAGATAAAATGCAGTCCGAGTTTTCCCCCATTCTGTACTCCAGGCAAAATCCAGTCCGGGTTTTCCCTGATTCTACACTCCACCAGAAATCAAGTCCCCCAGCCCCTCAAAGTGGTTCTGGGATGACCCAACATAGGCACCACAAGGTGTGAACCCCCCAAGGTGACACCAGAACAGTGTTTTATTTATTGCTGTCATACGAGACTGCTACTCAGTCTACAGCTCAAAAGATGTTGAGGGAGGTGGTTTTGCAAAGATGCAAAGATAGTTCCACATAAGTGTTTCATTAGCAGCACATACCTCCTCAGCATGTTGGCTAAAGAACAAATTAAACAGCAACAAGGAAGTCAAAACTTATTTGTCTTCTAAAAGACCAATATCTATATCCTAAATAAGACAAGTCATCTTACCAAAGGGTAGCTGAAGATTAGAGATTTGGAAACTCCCTCTGTGGGTTCCTATGATGTGGGAGGTTTATTTATGTATTTTATCTAGTGATTATGTGTATCCAAAACACATGGAACTGCCCAGAGAGTAGGGAGCAGAACCTGTGACTTTCTCTTGCTCAGAGATCACTAGGCAATAAATTGAAGGACTTCCACAAGCTCTCCATGAACTTCTCCTGAGACACCAGAATGCCCACTGAGCACAGCTCCTTTTCCCAGAGTTTGGAATTAGCTGTTAAAAGTCCTGCTACAGGTGAAGAACTGACTGTGATTCTTCTCAAAGACAAGTGGTAATTATATTCCACACGTTCTGGGGAAGTGCTCAGCCAAAGAGTTATTGTACAGAAACACTGCAGCAGCAATGCTTCCTCTGGCTGCATTTCAGAAGGGACAAAGCAGCAACTTCCCACTTGTTCAGAACTCTTCCCAGCTTTGTTTTCAAAATAAGATCTAATCCAAATGTTCCAAGAATCCTAAAATTCCTGGATTAAATTTTATTTGGAGCCTCAAAGTTTTATACCAAACAATGCAGTGCCTAGGTCCCTCAGGTCTAATCCTTTACATATGGGTCTGTGAAAAAAATAAAAATACTAAGCAATATGCTATGAAAAACAAATTAATCTTCTGTGAGCAAAAGTTTGACTGGGCTAAGTGTAACTCCCAATCTAGTCCAGAAAGGAAAATGAAACAAGTGATCTTATTTAGTGCTCAGAACTAGTTACATTTTACTGATTATTCACACGTCTGATTCTGGACCAATGTATGATCATAGAATCAAGTCACACCTCTTCAGAAGACATCAGGGAAACATCCCCAAAAGATGTCAGCCAGCGAAACTGAAAACCATCTTTGCACATTTTTATACAGAGGAATCAGCTAGGAGGTCCTAGGCCTGGATAAGAAACACATTGTTCTTGGTACGTTTCTCACAAGGAACAAGAAGGCAGTACCAGCTCCAAAGGCAGGTATCTAGTTAACATGCCAACAGCTTTGATGGGTGATGGAGTTTATTAAAGTAACTTGATAGGAGGTGGTTTCCAATAAGTTAGGTTGAAACTGTAAATGAATTTTAAGAATGGTTTCTCCCAGGGTTGTGATTTTATACTCACTGAATGGACTGTGCAGGAAAGATCTTTAGTGACCCTTCTCTGGGGTTTACCCATTTGAAAGAAAGTAGGAAAGAAAGATCATGCTTCCCTGCATTTGAAATTATGATTTCACAATTGTTATGATCTCCATGCCTTGATGATATAGTAGTATGATTAAATCAATACAAGTTCACTGGAAGTATTTAGCCATTATAAAAACTTCATAAAACCTTTGACTATTTTCCCCCGAGTCTTTTGCTAATAGGTCTTAAGTGCTATTGAACAAGAAAACAACGTTGAAAAGGAGGATGTAAGTGAGATTTACACTCAAATAGTCCATAATATCTTTAGCCTTAAACCACTTTCTGAAAACACCAAACATATATAAGGAGAGAAGCTGTGCCACTAAATTTAAATAAGTAAAAAACAACAGAAAGGCCAGATTACTGTTCAACAGAATGTTTTACGGCAGCCAAAGGACAATCAGAGGAAACAGCAGCACAGCAGCCTTTCTAGAGTTTTTGCTGTGCTGTGGCCAAACCCACAATCTTTCCTGACCATCCACCAGAAACCCGAACCCGAACCTCACCTTGGCATTGAATCTGGCGACAAAATCAAAGTGTTTCTTCAGGTCAGTAGCCAAAATTGCCTCGATGACGAGGAAGCGAAAATGCTTGAACTCCACGTGGTCGAGGTTGACCAGGAAGTTGTACTCTGGCCTGGACATGAAAAGGTTCCAGGCAGCAGCGGCGTGGTGGTTCTCCAGGACGGAGCGGTCGTTGTACAGCACTGCCTGTGGAAGCAAGGTGGGCAATGGAAAGCTGAGAAACATCTTAGCAAAATCACAGCAGTGCAAAAACGGGATTGACATGGGGGTGGATGCTCGAGGGAGGTTCAGGTTTGGTCGTTTTGCTTGTTGAGGTTTTGTTTTAAAAGAATTTCTCGAGGTCTGAGGATGTGATTTGGGCAGGACTAATAGCAGACACCAGAATTGTTCTGATGGTGATGATTTATTGAAAGATTGATTTGAAAAAAATCTGGGTCTTTTATGCGCCAGGGTTTTTGCTTCCTGACCAAACTGTATCATATGACAACAGATTATTCTGTTTCAGGCCACAGATTAATGACTAATATAACATAGGGTTGAGTGCTTCCCTGTTTCTTAGAGCTAACCTCAGTTAACAGGGATTATGGTCTTTGGTAATTGCACCTGACAACTGTGTCCATGTTGGATCAATTCCAAACACAGACACAAGCGAAATTCCAGTTTGCAATCTGACAACACACACTCAGCCTGACAGATTTCTCAGTGCTAAAATCCAAAACAGGTGAAATCTTTACTGAAACAAATTGCATAACTCTCATAAAGATGGCATTTTCACTCAGAAGTTAAAGAAGGATGTAGAAAATGGACTTTAGGGGACAACAACCATCCAGGAAACCTCTCCATCTTAGCAGCATTCAGTCTTTTGACAATTTGGTTTATAGAAAGAAAAGCTTTCAGAAATATGCTTCCATGTAAGATAGATATAAGTTTTTTAAGTTTTTACAGAAATATATACACATACATTCCAGTGCTTTCACTTTAATTATATTTTTATGTCACCTAGAGATGAAAGAATTCAATTCTATCCTAAAATATAGAATCTGTTCTTTATCCAAGAATACACGTTGCTGAAGAAATTCAACTTCACAGACCATCTTGCCTAACTGCACAGTAAGGATTTGAGATATTCTGCTACCCAGGCCCAACTCCTGAAGGCAGATTTTTAACACAGCAGCACTTAAACATTACTGGAAGTTGATACTGCTTGTCATGTAAAAAAAGAAAAAACCTAGAAGCCAAATATAGGTTCATCAAATTTCAGGTGATATCAGGTTTTAAAAAAGCCCACAAAAAACCAACAAACCAAACCCCCAAAAGATAACAGGAAGAATTTGATTTTTTTCTTATAAATTTATTTTCAGACTAGGGACATTATTTAAAGCTAATCATCTAACTTCCTTTTTTTTTTTTTATTTTTACAACCACAAAGCACTCATTTCTTAAAATTAGATTTAAGGACAGTACACGTCTTCTATCAATTTATTTACCTGGCCAGAGTATCAAACTTCTCTATCACAGAAAAGATTTTTGCAAGGATGAGAAGTATTATTATCAGTCTATAGTCAGAAACTGATACAGAGCAAGTCTGGATGCCAGCTGGGGAGTAAATCTAGAATTTCTGCATCCCTATCCAACTGTCACCATTAAACTGTCCTTTTCTCTTTCCTTGTCCATAGAAGTATTTTTCAGCACAGTATGCTGAAGCCAGGCAGGTCAGCTATGCAAAGCAAGGAAAGATGATCTCATAATAAAAAGTGACTCAATTGCTGAATTCAACTCCCAGCATTGACAGCACCTTCTGTGTAACCCTAGGCAAACCTCAATTCTACATTTATAAAACTGGGATTATTTTCCACACTCCCCTCCTCCTTGATAGATGCATAGTGAAAAAATACTTTCATAAAAGAGAGCAGCTGCTCATGTTCAATAGAAAGAACAGAAAATATGGTATGATCATGCACAGACTAACTTGCAAGGTGTGGTTAACTATACAAGTTTTTATTTTATTTTAATCTTTCTGTGCCTTATTGGGTGGAATAATTCTTCCCTTACTTCACAGTTACAGATTCTGTATCAGTCAGCAGAGCTTTAGCTTCTCCTGACAGAGTTTCAGCAGAGTTTTAGCTTCTCCTGACAGAGTTTCAGCAGAGTTTTAGCTTCTCCTGACAGAGTTTATCAGTACCTTTCTTAACAGCTCTGCTGAGGGTGTGTAAGAAGACTCTTATTGGCAATCCCTAAGTGAAGTGATTATTTCTGTCACTTTGACAAGCTGTTTCAAAATATTTGGCAGACTTGTGCTTAATGGAAGCCACAGGCACCACTGGCAAGGAAAAGTTGTTATCAAGACCTTCCAAACCTAACAGCAAGCCTGGTTGAGATCTATTTACCTGAGGAGCACTCGTTGCTACCAAAAAGGCATTGGTCCTTCCTGGGTGATCATAATCATGCATGGCTGCAGCTACATAAAGAGCCATCAGTTCAAGGGCAGGGATGTTGCCAGCCAGGCATCCATAGCTGTCATCTGTAGGTGTGTATGTCTTCGAAAACACGTAACCCATGTGGCCGTGAGTGATTCCACTGTCAGAATCTGAGCAGAAATACATAAATTAAAACAATAAAAACATCCTCACCGCTTTTTTTTCAGTGACTTACTGAAATAGATAGAAGCAACGAAGCAGGGAGAGAAGGAGCAAAATTACAATACATAGCAGCAGAGTGAAAGCACCCTGGCCTCCAGGCTTTCTGATACAGTGTGCATGATCCAGTGCAATAAGGCAAACAACCAGAAAGGAACCATTTCTGATCCCACCTGGGGATCTTCCAGCCATCCAGCAGAACCTGTTCTCAAACTCCGTAACCTACAAGCATTAAGACATGGATTCACAGCCATGCTGGAGCTTTGTGGGTAACTTGATCTTCCCACTTCTTCCTCTAACTTTTTCACCTAGGCTAGTCAATACAAAGTCATCTTATAGACTAGTCCAATACAAAGTTCTAGACTTTGAATCTCTGCTGACAATCCTCTTATCAGCCTGTTTTTCAAGCAGCTTGAATACACCTATCAGAGACAGATACTGAGTGAGATGCTTTGCTAATTTAATCTGCTTGAATAGATCTTGCATGCAGTCTAACAATGTCTTTCAAATAACAAACACCAAAAAGCCGCAGGACTCAACCCCTGTTATTCCACCTATTTTACCTCACCTACAAAGATATCAACAACCCTTGCAAATAAATTTTTGCAATAAAATTTATTTGGAATAAAAACGTTTTGGAATAAAAACGTTTCCCACTCCACCGAAACATCATGAAGAGTTTCACAGATGATATGTGTGTGCCATACAAACACCAAAACCAACCAAAAAAAGAAACAAACAAACAACAACAACAAAAGAGCAGAAATGGGAGTAGTTTCTGCAGCAAAAACTCTTGCTGTTACAGTAACTCTCTGAGAACTCCCATAAAACACAGACAATTCCAGCAGTTGCTACAGCTGACCTGGAGAAGTTAACATAAAGATGCAAAAAGAACAGTTTTCCATAATAAGCAATCATAAAGCAGCAGAAGATTGGTCTTGCAAGTTGGTTGCCAAATGGTAACAAGTCTTCCTGGAGGCAGTGGGGAAAGGCAAAAAACACTTCATGACAGCCAAGCAGCAGCAAGTGCACGGCACTACCTGCACGTCCCAGCAATTTTGTAACAGCAAAACAATGCAGGGGTTAAGGATTTAAAATCCTTCTGAAGCAGCATTGAAAAGCACTATTAATACAGTTTGCCTAGAGAAACCCCCCAAATGTTAACAAAGATCTGCTGTTATACGTGACCACAAAGGTTTGCATTCCCACATCGTTAAATGTAAATTATTAGGTTTTGGAGGACCAATTCCATTCTCTCCAAAGTTACACAAACATACTCGAACACCTTCAAAACGCATCGTGCTACTGAACTTTAAAGTCTATACAATAACAAGTACTGCAAGCAATCCTCAATTCTTGGCTTTGTCACAGCAATTTTTGTGACAGAAACTTCAAGAATACAACACAGGCACTTGCACACATAAATATACCTGAGTCGCTTGCTGACCCGTGGTCATTAATCACAGTTGGGAGCCCCGGGATGGGCTGAGTTGTCAGATACCACACGGCATGTAGAACATCAGTTGCATGGATTCGGTTGTGATCTGTGATGCAAAGAAAAAGATCGCGCTGTTAAACAGGAAGGATATTTCCGACAGAGGGATATCAGCACCATCTAGTGGGTATCTCGTGCCAGTCAAGCGAGCAGAGGCAAAACAGACTATCAAAAGCACGACAGTTGTTTTGGGTTTTACCTCTTCACAGACAGGAAAAATGGGAAGGTAAATAAATCTTGTATTAGCCAAAATATTCCTCTCTACTAAGAACAAAACACATCTAAGGAAAACAATTAAATAAAGGGTTAGATTTGCAAAAATTCCAGACACCAGTTAAATATTTTAAACAAAAAGAAACGGCTACAGTAGGACAGACAGACAGTGAGACTTCTACCTATAATATCCTCAGGCTATAATCTGCTGCTTCAAGTCTCTGATCTGGTTCAAACACAAGGAAAGATTTGAAATTGGACTCTTTCTTTCCCAGAAGGGAGTCCAAAGCACCTGTCTGGGAGGCATTTCAGGGAGCTTTCCTCAAATCCCTCCCACTGTAGCTGTTCCAATTGGTATTTAATATTTTGACAGAGAGACTATATGACTTCTTAGACTGATGTTTCATATATTTTTCTGTGATCACAGAGAAAACAGCATGTCCTGTGTTCCTCAACACTGGGGTTATCTGCCAGCTAAAAAAGGAAGTAATAACTCCCTCTATTCCCTTGGAAAACAACTGTCTTTTCCAGTTGAAGCAGTTTGGTAAATTGGATTTGAATTAGTAAATAATCTGAGGATCACTGAAAGCAGGTTTCTGGGTGAATAAATGGTTCCCACTGAAAAGAGTATCAGTATGTAGTTGCAGAAGAACAGGATGCACTCATGTACTTGGCATACTTTGTCTGCTTTAGAAAGCTCATCTCCTTTGGTAGCGTAGCACTGCTGCTGTGTAAAAGTCCAAGTTGCTTTTGAGGGGTAAATTTTTCAAGAAACTCCAGTTGGGACACGGGGCTACACTTGCAACATCAGTAAACAGTTCTTTACCTGATGGTTTTATGTGGTTTCTGGCTTGGAGAGAATTTGCCATGAATTGTTATGAAACAACATGAAACAAGAAATACATGAAAAAAACTCCAAACCATGAGAGGCTGCAAGTTCAGCACCAGCCTCTTACTAGAGAACCATCCATTTGGTTGTGATGTAGCAGAAGAAAAAAAGTAGGTGCTATAATGAGAGAAGAAAGGCTTCAATACCAAAGTGTGTGGAAAATCCTCAAAACTTTAAGGAAGCATCATTATGTGTTGGGAATTTTTACTTACAAGGTATCTCTCGGTATCCACATTCCAAGGCATGAAAGTAATTCATAAATTCCCGCACTGGTATTTTAAAGGTTTCAAACAGTCCCATGTCTTCAAAAAGCCTGTATGATACCTAAAAAAAAACAACACAAAAGACCCCATGTTGCCAAATAGATCAAAAAACCTCTAAAAATTAGATATAAATCTCCTTAGGTCAAATAACCCTATGAAAACCTGCTTTCCTAGTAGTATTTTCTGAAGTTCACCTGATCCAGCTATAGCTGCAGCTATTTGCACTTCCATAGGAATGTGGCTACACAGCCAGACAGAAAAGCTATTAGTACCAAACAGTCCTCCTCATTCCTTCATTACACCCTTCCAGATGTTCTTCTCTTCCTTTCAGACATATGCCCTCCCTGAAATTTTGCAGGCACCTCAGAAACCTACACACACGATGTTCAGAGGTCTTCAGTGTCTTGGGAAAAAATTTCCCCACAAACTTCTCCAAGGAGCATCCTTGACTTAATTCCCAGAAAAGTGAGAAATGAGTGAAGGACTGACAAAAGGGGCAACTATTTGGATTCTATGCATTATCTCCTTTCCTTTGCTCTCATTTTGGAAATGAAATGGAAAAAATGACTTAAATAGGATTCCAGAGGCAGCAAGTGGCTTAGGAAGCAGAGCTTCCTCAAGTCTTCCTGCATGGAAAGATGACTGCAAACATCCAGGAGAGGATATATGGGAAGGGAGAACGGGATGGATCAGTGAGGAGGTGTTCAGGAAAGATGAATGCTCGGAAATGCGGACAGCAGCTGCTGCAAAACGGGCACCTCTGAAGACAAGTTTGAACCTGACATACAAAACAATGGGGCACAGTAAAATCACTGCCTGACCTTTTCACTTCTTTCAGAAATTGGACCCTAAAGCCTTTCAGCTTCTTTATTTATTTACTGCTGTGAGCTGTTCTGTCCTTTTGGTGCCATCTGTCTGGTAATGAACCGCCTAGAGCCAAGCAGTCTGAAGCACATTTGGATTGATGAGTGCTATATGATAAGAAATGGTTCCAAATTACCTTTTGTGTTTTACACCTGAATGTAAATCAAACATCTACCCACCAATGTTTCTTTCTGTATATTGTGTATATAAATTGGGACCTGTGAGCTGCACCTAAAGTTTAATGAACATAAACTTCAAATGTTCCTCCGCTGTGGATTTTTACAGTAAGAACAGGAAAAAAGGATATGAATTTGCGGCATTAATGATCTTCCCTGTGCCTTTCCTCACAGTCATTCCCTAGCAGGAAAAACCTGCATGTAAACTAACTCTGGCAAAGCATTACAACAGGCAGTGATGATGCAGAGACAGGCTGAGTGTGATGTCTGACCCCATCTACGATGACCCTCTAATGACCAATATCTGGCAGTTGGGGTTCTGCTGGTGGCCTCAGCTCTTATTTCTGTTCTTATCATAATTTACCATGCTCTGGAAGACATGAGCTTAGAATAAAAGGTAGGGCCTACAGAAGGCAAAACTTTACTCTCTGAAAAACCCATGGGACCCTCCTGTACTGAGGCAGAATGAAGAAAGTGACCTTATGTATAATTTGGATTATAATCTGCATAGAACACTATTTATCTATCTGGAATCATGGCTTAAGTTTTTCACCTACGGAGAGCTAAGGAATCTTATATTCTAGTTTTGTATCTGTGAAATGTAAGCTTCTTATTTCCATCAAAATGTTTTTGTATAAAAAGAGGAAGCATAAGGAAATATTATTCTGCATGACCAAACCTTACTGTTCTGTACTAGCAGTACTGGACAGGCATCTTAAATAAAGCATGTCATAAAAGCATGTTTTTCCTCTCCTTGGATTTTGAGAGGTGGGTAATTCCAGAATTGAAAAGAAGCAAAGTTGACTGTGATGGCTATGAATGACAGCTCTTCCACAGCCAAGAAACTCATCTGAACATCTTGGTTGTTTTTCTGTCTTTCTCTCTTAGAAAATGAAGAGAAGTCAGAGGTAAGGGCAAGTCAAAAGGAGGAAAAAAGGGCATTGATGTCTTCCACAAAGTCAACTACCTAACTTCTTTCATTAAAAAAAAAAAAAAAAAAAGAAAAACTGTGCACCTTTGTTTGTTCATTGCTCTGGATTAAACATTTTAAAATGCTTCTGTCTTTTAAAATCTGTTCTTCCCAACCCGCATCCTCTTTCATGAGCTCCCTGGGAGTTAGAATCCCATGGGCTGAGCACGGTGCCCTTGCAGCCAAGGTGTGGTCCCTGCTCCAGGGACAAGCCCAGGGAAGCTCCAATGGCTGCCAGGTGCTTGGCAGTGGGTGCCCCACACTGCCCCTTCCCTCCAGCCTCCATTTGCTGCTTGTCTTTGCCACGATTGCTAATGCTTGACTGAATCATTTATAACTCAGATATTTCTGGCAGTGCTGCCTGAAGAAGGACAAGCACTTCTGCATGATTTGTAATGGAAGCTGGTTTGGAAACGGGATTTGTTATTCACATGTAGCCCATCTCCTGGCTGTTGCAGGCACACAGGAATGGCTCTCCTGCAAAGTTTAGATTAGCAATTCCCTTCTCATTGTCTGCAGGCAAACCTCTTGCACTCCTTTTTTATCTCCTGTATTTACTTTCTTCAGATGTGTGCTTCTTTGAAGTGGTTGGCACCTGTCTCTGGCTCACAAGAGCTTCTGTGGTGACATCCCTCAAGGATTGATCTCCCTCTCTCCTTCATATCTGCACTTTCTCTCTGCAGAAGCCATGTGTGATGGTGAGGTGAGCACACAGTCCTCTTGGCACCAGCTCCCAGGTCCTGCAATGATGCCACCCTGCCCCTGACACTGCTCCTGCACTGCTAGCATAGGAGCACCTCCACTTCTCATCTCTATGGGCTCAGCAGTAAAAGCTAAACATTGACTTTAGCCTATTCTTTTTTCATGGTATTTGCTTTCCAAGAAAAATAAGTTTACTTTCCACAGGTTTTAGTTTTATAGGAGCTGTGATAAGGGTGTTAAGTGTGAAGTGAGACTGAATGTACATTCCTCTCTAAACCCTACCACGCACATTTAGAGTGCTTGCCACTGTACTTTGCACAGATGCTTTTGTGGTCACTGACTGGTTTAGGGTATTTTTATATGTCTAAATCAATTTAACATTCCAAAAAGAAGAAACAGACATCTCAAGCAGCTTTAAAGATGCTAAGCCAGCATTTGCTTTCTAAACCAAATGCATCCCTAGAGGCACGTGTCAACTCTGCTTTGTTCCATCCCATAAATTTAACCTAGCAAGACAAACATAGTTAATTCAGCTTGTTAATTTACTTTTTTTTTTTAATGGATGAGTCCATTTAATAGCAAAATACAGAGAATAAATCATTAGACCTTTTGTTTTCCCTTGTTTAAAATATCTCAGGATTTAAAAAATACAAAAGGAAAAAAAGTACTTTTGGCTAAAGAAAAAGATTTATTTACTTTTGTTCCCTTATTTCTGAGAGTAATTTCATAAGAAATATCTGAGTAGGTGGGGGAAAGAACTAAAGGATCTATGTTTTATGAACAAGACTGAACTTGCTACATTCTCCTGTTAGGGAGTGGGAGTTATTATAAACAGCTGTTACTGAAAATGTTGAATTTTGATCACAAATATTATTTATTACAGCTTCTCTTTTATTTTACAGGTCTCATTTTGTGGCACTGTGAAGTGTATAAAACCCTCAGAAGCTGTGCAAAAAGAAGATTTTGGGAAAGAGAGTGTGGAGCTTTAGAGCAAATTGAGGGAGGCACAGGGGAATTGTCCCCAGAGGCACAGAACTCCATGTAACTTGATAAAGTGCTTAAAATCTTTAGAGATACCCATGCAAAACCAGAACAAATTTTGGATCACCCAAACTGTTGGTTAGTCATGCCTTTAAAAGAAAGTTCTGGCCTTGTGTTTAATTTATCATTCTATTATTATTCTATGCTATCAGAAAAAAAAATGACCAATATGATCCAGAAGAGTATTTTAATCACTGTCTAGTGCAAAAGTGTCTCAATAACCATCACTGAATTTATATCAATATCCACATCCAGCCACACTTTGCCTATTTCTCTAAAATTAACCTAGAGACTTGGCAGGCTGGTCAAGCACAGATGTTGTTTGCCAAGCTACAGAACACTAAAAGGCAGACAACAGAATATATTTGAATTCATGCCATGGTTTTCCTTGTTGACCACTGGATAATTGAATAGAGCTGAATAATAGGTAACCACCAAGGGACTGTGATTTGATACAGCATTCTCTGGTGCTTGTTACACTGAGATCTGCCTGACACACTAACCTCTGTGTTTGTGGGGGGTGTTAATTGTCCCTTATTGTACTAATTAACTTTATCTCTTCTCTCCAGCACTCATCACTACATAATGCCTTGTAAAGTGGTACTAGTTCACTCAGATTCTCTTGGGCTTGTTTTCCTTCCATCCCTAAATAATAATGAAAATTATTTGCCTTTCCTGTTTAATAATCTTCAATACTTCCATAAGAAAAAATGGCTAATTTGTCAGTGTGCCAGGAAAAGGGGCATAACAGAGTAGAAAGTTCAGCCAGGAAAGTGATTATGGAAGTGACACTAATCCTGCTGGGTAGAGACAGGCTGTGTCAGTAACTGGATTCAACTCCCAGAAAGGAATAAAACCCTGATAGTTCTGATAACTGAAAGAAAGACTAGCAAGCTCTCCCATTCTGAGTCATAGCAAATTAATCTTCCCTATGTAATAATGATATGAATTTTCTATCAAAGTTCTAACTCTTTAAAAATGAAGGAATATAGCAAGGACTATTTTTCCTCCCATTTCCTCAAACTCTGCTCTCTTGCATAGCCTGACTGAAATCTCCTGTATAAAAGAGGAACAAAGCTCTGTATATCCTGCACCAGTTTGCATATATTTACTGTTCAGCCCTCCCATGCTGTACCCTATGAGAAATCCTTTCACATAGAACTCAGTAAGGGGTGGCAGCACCTTCTGCAGATAGAAGAGAATATTCAGAAATGTTTATGTAAACTCACTGGCAGAGGGCAGTAGGCAAAACAGGTGTGTGGTTTACCCTTTCACATTTTTATATTAAAAAACACTGACATTTAAAAGTAAGGGATGTAGTGAGATGAAGTTCATATTGTCAGCTTTGAATTAGGTGACAGGGATCATGATTGGATGACCAGCTTGTTAGGACAATGGGTCTTAACACTATTGTGTCTAAATCTGTCAATATTCTAAGGCAGACACTGCAGACAAGACACACTTCTCACCTGACTGAGAATCCGACCACATTTCTTTCCAATTTTTTCCACCAAATCAAAGATTGGGAAGTTCCAACTATTTAGCTGCTCCATCAGGGGATCCAGGTTGTCCATAACCAGAGGCTCAGGAGCAAGTACAGGCTTGTCCTGTGCCAGAAATCAGAATAAAGGGGAGTGTTAGTTCAGTGAAGCATCTCATGCAAAACATTATGCTCTTATCCCATTAGCGTCATCTGTAAGTCGATGGTACTTTACTCAGCTCAGCAGAGATGTCCTCATTTCTACCAGCCCTGCAGCAAGTCACTCTCCTTTATAATGTGTTTCACTTGAATGAATAGGAAATTCTGTATATGAAACATCAGTGTCTGAACTTATCCATGAGACACATTCATTCATTCACTCATGGGAATCATTCATTCATTTCCAAGGGAATCTGTCTTCATTGTAAAATTTGCTGCAGTGCAGAGGGAAAAGCTCTCGGTTTCTACTTCTCCATCAGGACTCATTCATTACAATCCAACAAGGCTAAGGGAGCTCAGTCCAAGTGAAGACCTTTGCTTCTTAAACTGAAACCTACCTGGTTTCCAAGGCCTGCAAAAAAAAAAGATGGATTGTGCCCCACCTTTCAAATTTCTCCCTGTATCACATTTCTCCCTAGAATCACATTTTACTAAGAAACTGCAGATGAGTAAATGCCAAAACATTTCAAGCAAAATGCCTTCTCTCAGCATGTCCAACTCCAACAGATTACAGTAAATTTTTCAAGAGTTCATGCCAACTTCAATTTATTAATTCAGTTGTACAACGAACTGTGGAAAATGTAACTAAACAAAGCTTTTCCTCTGCATCTCAACCAAGCTTACAGCTGAACACAGCAGCTGTATCAGCACTTGTTCACCATACTGCAATATTTAAGGCATGTACCAATAATAATATCTTGCAGCACCCTCAGAGCAGTGTTCATTTATTTTAAAATAAGGACCACAGTATATATTATTAGTGAAGACTGCAAGCCCATTGAGAAGCTGAAGTGGCTGAACGGGAACACTATTTATCATGCTGCTAGTCAGAGAAGATAATTTCTCTTCCTTTCAACCCATTCCCTTTAAAGGAAACTAACACAGAGGCCAAACATTTCAGAAATGCCTAATGCTAGATCCACAAACTTTTATCCATCAAAATAGATGGTTAGTGTTTCATCAGCGGCCAGTGCTTAGCGGCCCTCACACATTTCAGTGGTTCCTTTCCATTCTTGAAAGTTAATCCTCCTGCTGCAATTGTTGCTTAAAACCATGATCACAATCTTTAGACAGCCCTAGGGTTTGTTTTTTTTTTTTTTGGGGGGGGGGTGGGTGGGTGGGTTTTTGACAGATTTCAGTTTCAGTTTGGCCTTTTTCCCACTCTGTATCAGCGTACACTCAGTCTGTTGTGCGAGTGGGACTCAGACAAGCTACCTCAGGTGGTGTCAAGGGATGCAGGATGATGGTCTCAGGTGTGTAGGACCTACAGACAGATCCCTTCCGTGTCTGCTCCTTGGAGCAATCTGTCTCGTCATCGTTTTGCACGATGTCGCTGCTGTCGCTGTTGTTGGTCTCGTAGTCAGAAGTGGCTTGCGCAGGATCATCTACAACACAAACCACAGAGCTCGGTGTGTGAACGGCAAGAATTCCACGAAAGGCACCCCGTGACCTTCCGAATAACAGCAACAGGATCTCTGACTCATCATACATATGTGCTGCTTGGCTGGGTCTGAAGCTGGACAATCTGTCCAAAGGCATATACCCTGCAGAGTGTAAAAAACGGGACCAGGGATTGAAGAGTAAAAATATTTTGAGGGCCGTTACTTATGTTGATTAGGTTAAATGAGGGAAACAATATTTCTTTTATATTTTAACTCCATTTTTCTTTAGCATTTTGTACATGTTATACATACAAAAAGGCAAGAAGCCTCAAAGCCTCACCTACATATGTTCTCCCTTTATGTCCTTTCATTATTGCATTTGAAGGAATAAGGTGTTTTTGACAGACAAAGAATTACCTGTTCTGTTCAGGGTGTGTGTGGTAGCATCATTTCTATTTAGTGTCCCATCACCAGCTTCTATTTGGTTATAGGGTCTGCCACAGCTGAAATACATCAAGAAATATGCACAATACAGAGAACCACGTACATCAGACAGTATTATGTAAAATGATTTCCTGCTGACAGTGTAAGATTATGTCATACAATATAAGCCATGGTCCAGGGTGCATTCTCCAGACAAAACTACAAGAGAGAGCTGAAATTTTATTGGAACTCAGGAAAATAAAAGGAGAAAAATAAAAAAAGACCTTGAATTAACTGGCCACCACCATTAAATTTGTGTTGCCAAGAGTAAGCCTGTAATACGTGATTTTCATTTTAAATGAATTTTTTACTCTCTGAATTAATCAGTGAAAAAAGAAAATAAAATTATCCCCTGGTTCTGTTTTCCAGCTGCCCTATAAAAGTGACAACATACCAAGTACATAAGAACCAAGGAGGCATTTTGGACAGAACATGAGGTGAGTGATCTGACATCCATACATTTACCAATGAAATTAGAACATAGAGTTTGCTTCACCATTCCCAGAACAAAAATACATTCTGGGAGGGATCACCATATCATGGCCCTTTCAAACGTCTGGCTCTTCCCTTCCAGTAAAAAAGCTTTATTCCTTGTGTGTGATTCCCTTTAAGCCCTAACTGTGAATTCAATACCAGCTGGAACGTTTCAAATTATAATGTCCCAATATGACTGAGTCTAGGACCTGAAGAAACAGTGGTGTATCATGAAAAAATGAGAGAACATAACAAATCTGAAATCTCATTTAGCAGTATTATATCAAATCTGTCCCCAAAAGACTGACACTTTAACATTTCTTTCTCTGATTTGAGTCAGTATTTTGAGGCATATCTCACATATAACCACCCTTGAAAAGCAACTATTACAAAATTATTTTCATTGGTCAAACTTTGTACTAGAAACTTTGTACCATTTTAAGTTCAACATGTAAAAATGGCTGAAATCCTATGCCAGAGGGCTTTTGACCGGGTCATCCAGAACACATCCTGGAACTTGATACGCCCTGCAAACACAATGAATCCCTGAAAGACTTTTAAATAAAAATGCAAATCTGTCTTCAATGATACCTGTACTGCATAGCCAAGCAAATAAATCATGTATCACTCAGGTTGCTAAACAAGATGAAAAAAAGTATTAATTTCTCTGTCCCGCGTTCCTTGTGATTTCCATAAGATCAAAGATAGAGAGCCCTTGATTGGGTGTAATGCCACAAGGCTTTTGCATCACTGTGAGTGCACCTCTTTATTTCCTGAACATATGCAAACTCACACTGATTTAATAAGTACGGTCCACAAAGCACTGTATTGAAATAAAAAAAAAATTACTTGAGCTACCCAGCAGCACACTTGAAAACTACTCTGTGTTGGAACTAAACGTGCTCACGCAACTTCAACTCAATCCCTTCATGCACAGGCATTATAATACCCTCCTTGACTTCAGGATTGTTTAATATTTTTTGCACGGGATTCCTGCCTCATCCACTAAGCAGAATTAATACATGATTACTTACAAGTTATTTTACTGGCAATGGCTGGTGTATGTTCTTGTTTACTGTGGTCTTCAAACTGCGCTGTCCTACCACATTTCACCTTGTTAGTAAAAAAGAAGTACAGTAAAACTGCCATCTTGATGCCACTGCCTGGGTGGATCTGACTTAAAACACTGAACCCATCAAGAGTTGACTTCCTCTTTTGTTGTAGGGGGTGCGATTGGTTTGCTGGTGGCAGAAGTTTGCTGACTTGGCATTGCTCCCCAGCAAGGCAGGGGTTTTGGCAGTAAACATAGCACATTGTACACCATGAAGACTAGCAACCTGCTATGCAAAAGCTCAGGCATTAAAAATTTACTTCCACTGTGTTAGTTTAACTCCCACAACTTGTTAACCCTTTAATTTCTTTGGTATTTGAGATTTTTTGTTTTGATTTTGCTTTTTAATTGTGTCTACATTACTAATGGGTGCGTTATTTGTGTGCTGTTAATTCAGCTTGTTATCTGTGGATTTGACACCTCTGTCAAATGGCTAGAAATTTCTAATGGCTAGAAATGTGACAGTGCTTGTAATTTTTCAACAGGGACTTAAAGACTATTAGCACCAGTAGGTGCCAATTCTATTAGCAAATGACATCATAATATTTTAAATAATATGGGTTTTTTTCAAATAATCAACAACAAAGTCTGTGTCAGCAATGTAACTATTTGCAATGCTTACACAGTCTAAGCTTTTGAAAACAAGCAAACTGAAAACCCAATATGCTATATAACCTACATAGATTCAATAAGACAGCATCCACATTAAAGTTAATGAGCATTTTACCAGTGATTACAATGAAATCAAAGTTTGGACATATGAAGAAAATATATTTCATCACTATCTACAACAACCTTACATTGATTTTTTTAACATTTTTATTGCAACTGTTAACCCGTTTTCTTTAATAGAAGGCTTCCAGACATAATTATTACTTGTGAAAGTAATAATATTTTGTTGAAGTAGTAATAAGGACACAGCTTAAAAAGACAGTAGCACCTTTATGTTATATTCTATTGTGTAATACAGTTTTCATTTCAAATTAATCAGTCCAAGTCCTAGTTTTGCTATAACTTTGGAAAACTTTTAAAAGCACTTACATTTCTATTTAGTTACCTAAACCCATCTTAAAAGCCTGTTGGGATTCCAGTCTGAACTGCAGTGAGGATGACTCCCTTGAGCAAACTTGCAGTCTCAGTTTTGACTTTCTCACACCCCCTTCCTTGCCCTGCACGCAGTGTCCTGAGACACATCCACAGCCACGTGACTGGAGTCAGAAAGGAAAAACCATTTCCAAAGACAGTCAAACTTGATAGCATTTAATCCAGCCTCAGATGATGTGCTGTCCACTAGCTGGCCACTAATCACAAATCACTCACTGCTATGACCAGAAGTAACATCTAGTGAGTAAGATAACCCTGAAACTGCACTGGAACAGGTTTAGGAATACCAGTGTTTCCCACTGTTCTGGACAAATATTGCAAACTCCACTAATACAATTTAGCAACTGAATCCTTTCTGAGAAGATAAGCAGAACAACTTTCTTTCCAAAATGCTGATTTTGCAAAGCAGGATCAGCCTGTGTTATCTAATAAAGGGCTACTTTAAAGTGCGAAATTAAACTGTGTAACTCTAACTCTTAGTACTTGAAAGAATTTATCTGTAGTTGTTTTCTGAAAAAAAATCCTGACTTTACATAATCTGACTCTGCCTAGGGAACACAGGATCAACTCCTCCTCAGAGAATGCTCAAAATTGTGTAGCCTTCTGGAATTGTTGGCACATCTTTACCAGAAGCCTACAGGCCAGGATCTTTTAAACCCTCACAGTCAGATTTTTCTTTCAAACATCAGGTGCCTGCTGTGGAAGACTTGGCCTGTGACCTGAAGGTGACTATTCATATTAGGGGGCATGGCATAAAAAACACAGGTTGTTAACATGAAATCCAACTTTGGGATCTGCAAATCACTGGCAAAGAATTTATTTATGAATCAGACTGTCCATCTGACATCAGTAAAAGCAATAAATGTAGTTAAGACTTCCACTTTAAAAGCATTTTGTAGCATCAGTCTACACAATAAGTCAAATACTACAAACTTGAAATGTCAATACAAAATACTGCAGTAAATCACAAAATCTTGTATGTGGGCCAAAAGAGCATGTTCTTGAGAACAATGTGAAAGTAATCCTACTCATGTCAAATTACAATCTTACCTGCTGCAGATGACAGAGGGGCTGATAACAGGATCTGACAGTGGAGGTGCACTCTGAGAAGAAGTTAAGACTTTGTGTGGCTTTAAGCCCTGCTTGGTGTCAGTATCTGTAGAGTCTGGAAATGACACAGAAGATGTTTTTCCAGTAGGACTTGTGGCAGGGGTCCCCTGAATTGGTGAATGGCACGGGGAGGTGAGAGGTGAAATATTTGGTGGGATACCTGGCAAGAGAAAAGAAGAGTCTTGTCAATTAAAAGAAGTGGCAAATGGTTGCAATTAGTTCACTGTGCAGAAACACTCCTCTTGAGATGCACAAGTACCAGCACAGCTTTCAAACAGAAAAATAAGAGAATACCCTACTCCACTCTGAGCCAAGCCCAGGGCTGTCAGAGGGAGATGAAATTCCATTAGTATCAGCCACTTCTACCTGCTGAAGATCTGGCTCAAAATACAAAGCATATTTTCCCTAGAGCAGGATGCACTAACTGGCAGGCATGAAATGAAAAGCATGTGTTAGTGGCGTGACTATTGGTATCAACATGTTCTACTGACAGAGACACCAAACTCCAAAGTTCCCAGACCCATCTGCAGATGCCAGATCCACCTTTGTTTTGCTGTCTCCATCTGTAAAGCCAGGACAAGAACAGCTTACATACATTCCCAGAAAATTTGGATTTTTACATGTTTGAAGACAAGGAATAAACCAAAAAACCAATTTTTAGTGGTCATCCATCATATAAAATACTGCACTTCTGGTGCCATTTCTGCATTCCTCACAGATTTTGGCCTTGACCTTGTGCAGTTTGAGTTTAGTTTTCAATATCTGTTGCTCACTAAGGGAACTTGCAACCATTACCTGTACCAGGTGGTATTGTTACTCCTGAGCTAGAGTATCAGGAACTGCCAATATCCACGTGTAAGCACTACTGAGATGTAGTGACCTTTATTCTCTCTGACCTTTATTCTGTCTAAGCACCACTGCAAAGATGAAATGCATCAGCTGGTCCAGAGCTTGAAACAAAGTGCTGCCTTCTTTTTGAACCCACTTTACATTTGTCTAGTCTCAGACAAAATTCCAATCAAAACATAGAGGGGCAAACTTAATCTATCTTGAAAGGAAATGCACATAAATTGAGTTACCTCCTGTTCTAAAGTTTGTAGGAACTCAGCCCCAGTTAATTTACCACAGCCATCTTCAAAGTCAAATGATAGAAAGACCTTAGGAACTTGAACTGGTTTTATGTTTGAATTGTGCCCACTATCTAAATGTATTCCAGACACAAAATTTATCTTAGAATAAGGCGACATGTTGCCTTATTCTGAGTTTACGAAATACTAACCTTGCAGGATACATGTATATAGCTCCAGTGTTTTTTCCTGATAGCAACTTTCTGTGATATGAGGCTAAAATATGATTTATTTTTGACAATCCAAGAGTTAAAAAAAAAATTCTGACAGTTATGGAGCTGTAATTTGGTGATATCTAACATCTCCTCAGTTTTGATTAGGGTATTTCTTCAGCAAACATGTGGCATGTATTACTCTCTTAATTCAGTGACTGAAAGTAGGATATTACGCTTGTCTTGAGATCAGAAAACTACAGCCTTCAGAGCAATTAAAATGTTATCAGATGGCCACGACACAGGGAAATTGCTTTCAAACACAGAAAACCTCTGTTTCACATTTACGAATTCATTGAGATATCGGCTTTCCATCCAAAAAAAATATGTCTTTAAAAACACTTGGCAGTCTGTTAGATGTGCAGAAGATTGAGTTGGATTATTATCTATTTTTGAGCTACATGTTACCAGGTAATATTCATAACCCTTAGAGGATATGATTTGGAAGATACAATACATATGGTCATCTTTCAATGGTTAAAACAAGTCCTGGGAATTTAAACAGCAGTTCTCACAATAATGTTTCTAATCACAGCTGCCTTTCTACTGCCAGTCTGGGCTCCTGTCTCCTGACATATTTTTTGTTGCGTGTGTTTTGTGTTTTTTTGTTTGTTTGTTTGTTTGTTTGTTTAAAGAGTAATTTTCCAGGGTAGGTGACCACAAATAAATAAATAAATTTACAAGAAAAATGCAAACCTATTTTCAATAATCAAACATTTAACCATTATTGGCAAATGTGAGAGTAAATGTGTCTTGCTACAGCAAGGAATTTTGAACAGTCAAGATAAGAGAAGAATAAAAATACAAAGAGAATTTTTTAAGTACATCCATCTGCTTAGGTACTCCTGAACTTCTTCATATGTGCAGTGTTGAAGATATAAAACAGTGACTTCAATGTGATGTGAAATGACATATGAAAACACTTGATTTTAGATATAACTAGCAGCTGTTTTCATGCATAATTAAAGACACATTTTATAAATTAACAGATTTACAGATTTAGCTAGATCAACCTCTACTAATAATTATTGTATCTTGCCAATGGAGCTAATATATAAAAGTCTAAATAGTATTAACTATGGCAAATGGAAATAATTATTGAGTTGGAACATGAAAACAAATCATAACTAAACTGCATGATTATAAACAGCCTAAAACATTGAAATATCAATCTTCTACACAAAATGCTGACACAAAACTTTTATTCCTCTCCATCAATACCCCTAGGAATTGCTTGTGATGGAATGGAGATCCCCCTTCATCATGTGGGAGCTCACGTACTTGGGCAATAGAGATGACTATTAACATTTTCTGAAAGCAGAATTTACTATATGTACAACTGACTGATGGGGTTGGTAAGTGTTGTTTTCAAATACAAAATATTATACACCCCACCCCTTTCTCTTTTAATTCGTTAGGTAATCTCCGAAAATTACAAGTCTAAGTGTAATATTTGTTTTGTTTTACAACAAACTCCTGGATTCTTGGTACTGTATCTCCATTATTTTCCAGGTTTAATTTTATTCAATTCCCTATGTGCCTATTACCTTTTAAGATAATACTGTGTTACTTAGTCTTCCCTGTGATAACACAAAGCAGCTGCCGTACAGGAGGAGATGTTGTACAGTTCTCTTCAGTTTGAAAAGGAGATGAGATGTGACAGTGCTAGATATGCGAAATAATTGTGCAGCCGTATCTTCAAACCCATCTCTAAGCTGGGATTCTGTTACTTTTTCAATGTCAGACCTCAGGTGTGTATCAATTTCCCCCTGATAGCTGGGTGGCCAGTATCTCTGAGTAACATTATCTCAACATTATTCCATGTTTGGAAAAAACCCAGGCTGGTATAAAAAAGGGAGGCCTTGTGATAATTTTGAATTACAAGTTAAAGCATGAGTAAACATTATATTATCCTGCATTTGTACAGGGAGGAGAACCACATTACTGTGGATTAAGGACGCTTCATGGCTGTCATATCAAACATTTAATTATGAATTCCAAAGTCACCTTCTCAATTTCTTTCCCTGGTTAAAACAGGAGTAATGGGGTTTTTTTAGAGTCTCAAAAAGCAGAGTGAAAAGCCCCATATTTCTCATCTCTAAATATCAATAAGAACTACCTGTACTTTCTCATAAATAAATATACAGAGATAGACAGAGTTACAAAGGCTTTGTCTCGGATATGTTTGCATAAGATGGGTCAGTTGCTGCTTACAGCTGAAAATGGCATTATGAATGTTGTGCTTCAGGAAATCTCAGTCAGACAATATGCACAGACAGTTAATGTCATAAATGTTACAGAAAACACTCTGTTCTCAGCCCTGTTGTAGTCAAGGGAATTACATGGATATAAATCACAACACAGTTTCGTACCACACTTGCTGCATCATGTCATGACTAACCTCTACAAATCAAAAAGTCAAAACATTTACAATGGTATCACTATGAGCTACAGTATTTTAAGACATTGTGTTGTTTTTTCTTAAATGCAGGAAATAACCATAATATACTGATGGAAAAATAAGAAAAGAAGCAGATTGGACAGAGAACAAAAGCAGCTGCACTTGCTAGTCATGGGGAGCAGCTAAGTGAGCCTGACAGAGCCATGGATGCCCACTCACCTTGCCTGCTCTGCCTTTTGGCATTCACGTGGTTGGTAGAAGACATGGTATAGGAGGTGGAGAACGACCTGCTCTTTGTGATTGTCATCAGAATTGAGCTGTTCCAGGAGTCAGGGCTGCAAAAACAGAGCACAAACAAGCACCATTCAACACGGGAAAAAGCCTCAATGGCAGATCTTAAGAAGTTAGGAGCTGCAGCAAGAAATATGTGATACTGGGATAGCACAAAATCTGATAAGGAAAACAACATCTATGGGCTGGCTGAACTGCAGTTTGTGAGGTGCTCAGTACTGTGTTCAGCAAAAATATTTACAATGCAGACACTCCAAAAGCTGGGCTTCCTTTGCTGCTGAGGCCTCTTTACTTTATTTATACAGATGCCTTCTTTATATTGTTCTGAGGGTACACAGAGGCTCAAAAGTTGACTTGAAATAAGTTAAATTTATATTCTCTTTTAACACCTCCTTAAAAGAGCCAGAAATGACACAAGTTCTCAGTACAACTAAAAGCCCAGCCTCCTCTGCTGCTGGTGCCACAGCAGATACCCACCAACCTTTAGGGCAGTGGAGGAGCTCCTCAGGAGAGTGGGGAGGTTCAGAAGCACCCTGCATGGCCATGGCTCCTGGTGTGCCCCTTCACACTCTAGCCAGCTGCATCCCCAAACAAATCCTACTGACAGACCCTGAAGACACTGGTCCAAGAGAAACATACTGAGGGAAAATAGGGGGCATTTGTCTCCGGGTGTGGAACAAACGCTTGTCCCCTACAACAGCATGGGCCAACGCTTTCAGCCTCCAGGCTAGAACTCTGTACCAAAATCCTTCTGTACAGTGAGAAAACTGTATTTATGATTCTTTTCCCAAATGCCACTCATCAAATTTCAGCTGCTTGCAGGGATGCAGCACTGGCTCTTATAGAGCAAGGCCTGTGAGCCCTCTGGACAGATCCACCAGGCATCTCAGGCTCCACGTTCCCCCTCACAGTCTCACATGCAAGTGATGAGGTGACACGCAACCAGAAGACAGACTTTTAAAGTAGTCTAGCTCCAGCTGACCTTGAAAAAAACTTGAAAGAAAAAATAAGCACTCTGAAAGAAAAAAACCACATAACAGTGTGTTACACCTCTACAAACATAATGTTTTGTAAGAGACGTACTACCTACAAAAATAATTGCTGGTTGTCTTCATTGGCCCAAATGCCTATAATCTGTGATGAAATGAGACAAAGAAAGATTCCAGATGGTTTTTTAAAAATTTTCTTTGTTTGTTTTGTTTTATGGTTTTATTTTGTTTTTTAGTTAACACAAAGAATATCACACACTGGCCCACTGTAAAGTTCAAGAAAAACCCCAACAAAACAAACCAAAAATCCCTTAACCACATTCCTTGACTTCCTAAGGGAGAACCACTGGATATAGAAGTGACTGAGGGAGAGAACATGGAAGTTCTATTATTTTTCCTGTAGCATTACGAGCCATAAGAGGACCATGTCTTACCAGTTATTGACATAGGGTTTGAAAAATACAAGATCACTAATCTCAAACAGAGATTTAAGGGGGATTTTTGCAAATTTGTGACTATAGAAATCTAGAGATGATGTTCCAGGCTGTGAGGAACAAGTTGAAGATTCTGTAACTGTGACATCTGCCACAGGGAAATCCCAGTGTCAGCCTCTCTCCTACCCCTTCAACCTATGAAATATTTCTTTTTCTGTGACCTCTGGAGTGCTTGAATTTGGTTTGGTACAGGGGAAGTGGCAGATAATCAAGACTTTTTTTCTCTTCAGTTCAAAATTCTTCTCCTTGAAAGAAAATCTCTCTTGGTCTGCCAAAACTTTTAAAGCTAGACTTATAGGATCCATTTTTTCCCTTTCTGGAATACACATTGTTTCTCCCACTGTAAGAGAAGTACTACAAACAGTAGGCTGGGAGACTTGACAGAGCTATAATTATACAATTGGCGACATTAAACATAGGAAGAATTGATAGCCTGCTTAGTTGGCTCATCGTGCAGAGTTATATAACAACTGCAGGAAAGGACCAACAATAATATTTAATTGCTCTCCTTCTCCCTCTGATTCCCATCTTGGGATGCTTACATACTACGTGAGACTGGGATCAACAGCATAAATCAAATAGACCCTGGGAACCACAGGTCGGTGAGTGAAGAGCGTTTCCATTTGGTTCTAGCTTTCACTGAGATAGCTGGGACTCCTCACAAAGGGAATTTTGGCCAGCCACGTGTTTTTCTTGCAGTGCACTTTGCAGGCTGCCTTGAGCCCCTCGATGCCCTGCGTGAGAGTCTCCTCTGTGGGAACGGTTTACGCATCTGGAGGAAAGGCTGACCTTGGAAGAATGCAGCTCTCTGGGGCGGCGTTCACCCAAGCTATTTAACAGTCAACATTGGTGTTCTCAGGCCCTCTCAAGTCCCGTGTTTTTCTCCGCTACCGGTACCAAATTTTGAATTTCAGAAAAGCATGTGAGTCTTCTGATAACATGACTCTAAATTCTCTTCTTCAGTTTAGTGCTTTGGTTCTGATCTTTCTTTGCCCAGAGCAAAGTACGTCTCCACATTCTCTCCTCCATCTCCAAGATGATAACCCTTGCAGAGGTTGGGGAGGGGACCTGAACTTTATTCTCTCAGGGTGGCACCACAACTGACTGCCCCCCCCCTACTTTTGAAGGCTCTGCTCCTCTCTGACTAGAGCAGAAGAATATTCATGGAACCAGAAAGGAGGAAATCCTCTTGAAATAGTTACACAACATGATCACAGTTAACAGTGCCTGGGAGCCAAGCCTTCCTTGTCACAGACAAGAGCTCTTTGCACAAGGCTAACATCCATTCAACTTCTTCCTTCACTGTCTGCTACTGGATTATCTGCCACAGACCCTGTGGAGGGTTAAAAGCTGCTCAACTCAGGCTTTATGGTAGCATGGAAATCCCAAAATGTGAGGTACATAGGACTGAAAGCCCTCAGACCTCTGCAAATGCCCTAAACAAGTCATCTGCTGGCTGCAAGCAGCTGAGCAGACACAACTTCTCTTTCTCCATTCCATGAGAAGACCACGTATTTTATGATACTGGCTCAGGGATCGGGCCCTGAGAAGAATGGAGGATGGAGAAGTGCTTTATGAACTGGTTTAATGACAGAATCACATCACTAGGTGTGTTCTTAGAAATGGCTGGGTCACTCGTTAAAATTTTTTCTTGGCTGGGCAATACCCTCGCAGGAAACTGCTGCATATCAAGAAGAATTCAACCAGATATTTTGCCTGTCTTCCAATCTTATTTTGCATTTCTGAACTTTGTTAGCATAAATACATTTTTTTAAAATCTATTTTACTTCCCAATAATACGAATAATTTTGGCACAATCTGACTAAAGTTGGGAATGCTGCTTCTTTGGCAACCCAACTTAAAGAAACATGAAGCAGTAGTTTTAACACACTTCAAAGCCAGCGTTTTTGAACGAGGGACATCATCACACAGAACCAAAGAAATCTGCCCAAACAGAAACATAGAAGAGAGAGGAGGTAATTTGTAACCTGGATGAAGACGATTCATGGGGTTTGATGCTGGCACTGCGATCCCTTCTCACCGGAGCTGGCTCCAGGGTAGGTAATCCTGTGGCTGATGTTGTTGTGGTCCAAGTTGAGGACACTCGTCTCAGCAGTCCTGGGGGCAAACTTCTCCGTAAGCGCTGAGGAGAAATCAGTTGCTGAGAGTTTATATCAGCTTACAAACCCTTCAAAGGTGCAGAAGAAAAACTGCTTCCATTTGATTAATTCTGCCTGACAACAACTCGTGAGGTACTGTAAATCTGGATTCTCCCAGGTATTGGGTTGCCTTCCTTCTACTCAAATCAACACAGGCAATGTTTTAAATGCTTGCAGGGTCTGGACCATCCTCCCTGTTTCAAGTTTTAAAAAAGGTCTACACCCACAGCCCCATAGCTACAGAGGTTTAACATTTGATGTGGCCAAAGGCAATTAAACAAATTAGCAGGGCCACAAAAGTGGATTGGAGCATCTGGTATAAAAGGAAAGCCTAAGAGAGCCAGAATTCCTCAGTTGGAAGAAGGGGCAGCTCAGAGTGGATCTGACTAATGTATACAGATACCTGAAGGGAGGGTGTAAAGAAGATGGAGTCAGGCTCTTTCCAGTGGTGCTCAGCGAAAGGATAAGAGGCAATGGAGCAAAAATTGAAATACGAGAAATTTCATTTGAAGGTAGGAAAATATTTTTTACTGTGAGGATGACTGAATATTGAAAGAGGTTGCCCAAAGAGACTGTGAAGTTTAAATTCATGGAGATACTCAAAAACCAACTGGACATCCTCCTGAGCAACCTGATCTAGGTTGAGCCTAGAAAAACCTTGTGCATGAGGGACTGGACTAGATGATCCCCGGACTGGACTACACAATCTCCAGGTGTACTTCCAACCTCAACTATTCTATGATTTAAACTGTCATGAATTCTGAGAATCAGAGATTCAAGGCAAGAAAGGCTGTAAGAAAAATAAGGGACAGGAGCTCCAACTTTTTTCCTGCTATATCTCCCCAATCCAAAGGTCACTCACTGAAATAAAACTCATTCTCTGGGATATGATGTCTCTTGATAAGCATAGAAAAAGTATCATTATTTACAGCAGATTTTTCTTGACCACCCTGCATTTTTCTTTCACCTGATTCTTCCTTTTCTCCACTAACAGGACTCACATATTTTTTGTTAATTTTTGAAGACAGTGATAATAAGGGATAACGATAAAGAGTCTTTTTGAATCCAGATTTGCTGTTACAGATGCTATAATTTTGTAAGATATTTCTCTTGTAGTTCTCATGAAATGTTTATAATTAAGAACTAAAATAAATATATCTCTGCAATGGAGATCTTGGACTTTGCCAGAGGGTTAAGAAATATGAGATGGAAGAGAACTGTGGTTCTGAAGCTCAAGCCTGAAGATAAATATGTTAACATACTATCTCCTTACCCAAAATAGTAACAGATGCTTAAGGTAAAGACCCTAAATCTATATTTATACAGGTAAATAAAGGACTGCAAATAATTAGTTTTATGAACCATAATACATTTAGGTCAGTGAACTCCAGTCAAATTAGTTCTCTGTAGCATTAGCTCATTTCTTCATCATTCATTTGTCTTCTCCTCATAAGGTATTACACAACACCAAACTGGTATCTGCTCCCTGTGTTTGCTCATGTGATGGCAGTGTTCTTCCACTTAACTTTTCCCCTCAGAGCCCAGAGTGCAGCCATGATAGACATGTTCACCAAAATAAATTGGAAAATGTGGTTAAAAACCCGTGAACCTCCATTTCATACATACAGCTGCTACATAGGCAAATAGGGTGATAATTATCATCACACTAAAATGTAATAAAACCAAGAATCACAAGTGTTGAAATTCGGATACCGGGAAATGCCGGAATGAACGCTGGCTGTGCCATTTAAACTGTAAAAACATAAAAGCATTTGCCTGTGCAACGTATTCTGCCCATATTTAATTTTAGAAGGGAGACTGCAATACAAAAGCATTTTGGTTTTGTTTCAAAAGTGAAATGTAAGCCTTGCAGGACAGCTAGTTAGCAACAAACATACAACTCAAACTACTTCAAAGCTGATATGTTCTCTCTAGCTGTTCACTTGTTAAACGTGGGTAGCTAACACTGGTTATTTCTTGTCAGATTCCTGAGCATTTATAAAGCCATCTGTCAAAGCAGTAATAGATTTTTTTTGTTCAGTCTTCTTTTTCTTCTCAAGACCACTTCTCATGAGCTCACAGTAGTTGTCATACTAATGACTGTGATAATCTTTTTGTTTGTTTGTTTGGTATGCAACATTTTAAACTTGGTCCAAAGACCTGGAGGTCACCAATAGGGAGTTTTTCATTGACTACTATAGGTTTCACACTTCTGGCTAAGGGAAGGAGGAAGAGACTGAAATTCATACAGAATTTCAAATTCCAACCTTTAAAGTGAGCAAAAAGGTCCCTCATATTACTGCTTATTTCCCCAATGCTCGTTGTCTACAATAGTCACCCCTCATGCAGTGGCTCAAATCTTTTGAGTGGGAGGAGAATTTCTGTGTAAGAAGTGATGGGGCAGACCTGTGAGTCTGAATGATAAAAGGTTTCTGCTTGCTCTTCTCCTTGTCATTTCTTCTCCCAAGCTCCAACCAACAGCTGCAAGAAAATATGCACACCATCTGTGTGATCTATTCTGTGTCGAACACCACCTTCTAAACATGCCTGAACCAAAGTAAACCTGGCCGTGAGTTGAGGGATACACAGGAATTGTGTTACTATGAAACCAACAATGGACTAGCTGTCCTTTTCCAGTAGTCTGTCATTGGTGCACAGGATGTTAGTCTGAAGCAAAGAAGCAAAAATCCCAGTGATGTACCTTTAGGGAGAGCCAAGTAACAAGATGATACACAGGCTCCAGTACTCACCTTGGGAATGGCCAGTTTCTCTCCTTTCTCCGGACATTCCTCTGAGTCGGAGCAGGTGTAGTTCTCACTGAAGGACACCAAAGGATTCACCCTTGGCTTGTGGATGGCCTGGAAGGTTAACTGCGTGTTAAGCAGGTTGCTCACTGTTCTCAGCGATGTGCACACGTTGGGGGGCAGTGAAGGATCGGCCAAAAGGTCTGTGATGAGCCCATGTGCTTCTCCCATGACAGCGATATCCACTGTGATACTGGTACCAGAAGACTAAAGAAGAGAAAAATAGCACATGTAAGACAACAGAAGTGAACAACCTGCTGAGCACTATCTAAAGCTGTGGTGAACTCTCTTCACAACTTTTGTTAAAGTGGCTACCCGCAGAGCGGAAAAATAATAACATAAAATAATTCTTTAAATAAGGAGAATGATGCTGAATAGATTGATCATCAGGCATAATGCTCACAGTCTGCAAAGACTTTGGAACTCTATCATATCTGATTTCATGGCTTTCATCATCTGCAGCTGACAACCCATCCGAATGAATTGTTCAGGTTCCCTACAGAGACATAGTCAATGGCCAGGGGCTATTTGCACAAATAATTTTGGAGACATAGCTTGGGATGGGATGGGAGGAGTCTCTCTTGACAGATGTCTGTCTGCTCACTACAGAGGCATCTAGAACAACTCACGTTCAATGCTCGTGCTTGGTTGAAGGAAATTAATCCCAGGCATATACTGAGATCTTTAAAATATCACCATGCAACTAAACTATAGTATTCTGGTATGGTGGCAACAACATTCTTCTCCAAGAAATTGCATATTGGGCAGCTATACCAAATATGAAATGGAGTAAAGAGTGGATTTTTCAAACCTTATTTTATTCAGATGGAAGTGATGAGAATAGCTACTCTACAGACTTGTATGACCAATTCAGATGGTCCTTACTTTCTCTTGGGTTTGAAATATATACCTTCTTTACATATATCATTTAGGAAGAATTATTAACGGATGTATAAGCAGAACCAATATCAGGGACCAGCTCCTATCACCGGCAGATCATACGGACCCCAACCACGGATATAATTGATGTGCAAATGATGCAACACAAACCAACCGTGGCCCAGGCAAACTGTCTTCATATGTGCAGTCCATCCATCACACACACAGGTAATTTAACACAGCTGTAGCACGAGGCTTCCAGTGCATGCACAAGAGGGTTGATTTGTAAATGCATCTTTGAGTTTCTCCAGAACTTCCCCACAATCAGCAGCTTCGACTACCAGCTGTCCTGAGAACCAGTAGGGCAATATACTGGCAATAAAAGAAACAGTATATTGCCAAAAGCAGGAAAGTTGTCAAGTCTGTGAATTGACAGCTATATGATACAATTGCAAAAGACTGAGGATCTTTAAAAACCTACTAAAAGAACAGTGAGACTGGATGCACACAGAAGCAGAACAACTAGAAAGGCAGGACGCATATGGAATTTCAATGCAGCAGTGACATTTCAGCCTCACTAGCTGGTGTACTAAAACCTGCCATAAATTCTGCGTGGAATTGCTAATTCAAGGCACTCCAAGAGTGACCATTTTTCCTTTGCTGTGTTTCTGACACATAGGCTTAAGCCTGCTGCTACTGTTTGGGGTTTACCAGCAGGTGTACGTGCAATTTGCCAGAGACATCATTCCAGTAGATTTCGTACTAATTTACTTTCATGTGTTTCTTAGAAAAAGCTAAAATACATGGATTTCTAAATGGTGAAGTTATGTCTGTGAAAAGATCATATGAGTTTTTTGGAATGGCAAACAAACAATATGGAGAATTGGTCAGACTTAGCAGGAGGGTGATCAGAGCCCCATCCAGGAATGACTCACCAGTGACAGTGTTTATGGACCTCAAAACACAAAGAACAGTGTAACACAGCGTGACACTGCTTTGTTCTCACAAAATGCTTTACAGGCAACAGAAAAGTATTTCTGAGGAAAGTGAAATATTAGCTGAGTGCAGCTAAACTCCTCCCCATTTGTGTAGTGTGGACATCAGGTCCCCTTGGCAAATTGATGTTTCACTCCACTGATCCACTCCTCGTGTCCTACTTCTCGCTATCACGGGATCCCCTCCTTGTGTCCTACTTCTTGCTAACACAGAAGTAAACTGAAGAACCAGAAGACAGGCCTCCTCACTCACCATTCTCTCATGCAACCAGAGAAAGAGCTGCTTCTTCCCATATTTCTTTGCCACGCTATGAAATAACATAAACCAGAAGCTGCTTGATATATTGAAGTGCTATTTCATCCTACTGAAAAAAATTAATGTCTGAACTTAATTTAATGGCTCTTTCATTGCTTAACCTCTCAGGAGTGCATGCAGAAGATTCTGGCAGATGCTAAAGAAAATTCTTAAATTAAAAGACAAGGCTTGGGATGAGAGGAATTAATTATCTATCTTAACCTCAGCCTTGAAAAACAGACCAAAGGGGAGTGAGGGACAATATGTCATTCAAAACGCCATAGAAGCCTCATATTTTCAGCAAAACTGCATAATCTACGGTTTGAAATTCTATTAAGCCTGGAGCCTGGAGTTGTTGACTGCCAATCAGAGACAGAGATTAATACTTCAATGAAGTAAACAAGTCTGACTCAGCGGGCTATAAGCAGAGGCCCAGATTTTGTACAGCAGTACTAATATTTTGCAAAGCAGCCAGCATTGTTCTCCATGATTAGCACCAAGTGGGGAGAGGGACAGTCCTTCTCTTCTCAATGGTGAATTTTCTGCCACATGGCCTCTAACACATGAGGATGCCTTGTCAGGTATCTCGGTGGTCCCGCCTTGACTCTGGGACCCAGCAGATTTGTCTGAATCATAACACCAGGCTGTGATGAGTTCTGCCAGGACCAAGTGCATGGTAAAACCCATGCAGCCATCCACCCATCCATCCTGCCTGCACAGAGTACACCCAGCGAGGTCAGCACCATGCCTGTAAGGAGATCCACACTGATTTTCCCTCACCAAGACTGAAAATGAGACGTGAACCATGTCAGCACAGCCCAGCCGGGGTCACCACAAAACATCAGCACGTGCAGCATGACATGCTGCATTGCACAAGACTGTGAAAACATTTTACACAGTTCAAAAACATCACTGTATTGTACTGAGCTGCTTTAAATTTGTGTATATGATATTTAGAGTATTGTCTGAACTGCTCATAATACTTAGAACCCTCAGAATGAGGGCATGTGTAAAAGAACAACAGACCAAGCTTAAATCCCTCTTGAAGAAAAAAGCACAAGAGGGTAAACACTGCTCTAATCCACCAATTTCAGTACATTTACACACATCCTAAATTGGAAAGGTTTATAAGTTGTAATTTAACTGCACAGTACTTGCATACAGGAAAGCACCTTTTTTTTTCCAAACAGTTTGAATATTTCATCTATCTCAGGGTGAATTTAGAGCACTGCCAGACTAGTCTGACTAGATAAAATTACAGGTATTTAAAGTATTATTTTCTAAAAAAGTTACAAATTGAATGCATGAAAACATTTAAAAATATTTCATTTTTCAGATTCAATACTACAAAACAGTAGAGAACTGCATATGCTTTGGAAACCATTATTCAGAAAGTAAACAAAAATGCCTTTCCTTAAAGGGCAAGAAAACCTGGAATTTACTTTAAAAGACATAGGATGATGTGAAAGCAAGACAGTAAATTGGTGAAAATTTTAGACTGATGTAATTGTACATGCACACATTTGCACACATATATATGCACAGTGTCTTTTTCAGGGTAAAAGTGCGTATAAAATCCATGTTCAGACTTTGTAAGTAGTTTTCTTCTTTCGTGCATAGCCTCTGCATGAACTGATTTGGATTCTTTCCAAACCACTTTACTCACTGCATAAAACAGAACAACAGAGAGCTAAGCTAAGGTGAATTTAATTGCACATTGGTCAGTATTCATTTACTCATCTATGCCAATAATTGTGAATCCAGTTCTCTCCCATGAATTTTGGAGAAGACTGGCTTACTGTTCAATTCGTGACTTCACTCCATCCCTGATTTAAGCAACGTCATGCAGTGACTAAAACTGAAATGCTCTAGGGCAGGAACAAATCCAGATCAACTAAGCATGCTCACTTTTAACTAAGATAAGGAGAAAAATTAATTCCTTATAATGCTGAAAAACAGTGGTTTAGGCTGTGGTACGACCTGGAATTCCTAACTGGGTCCAAATGCGCTTGCAGCATGTTTTGGGGCTTCTTTTCATGTACAGAAAGAAATAAAAAGGGTTTTCTCCCAAAGAACACATATAAAAAGTAAGATGGCCAGATCACAGTAGGATGCATCAGAGACTGGGGACAGACATGGACAGTTCACGGTGCCAACTGTGCAATCATCCAAGTTTGCATTGGTGGGAATTTACAAGAAAACTCTGATGTGCCAAGAAGCACATACACTGCTGCATCTGCAGGACAAAACCATAAGCAGCATGTCCCACTATCACACAGACAATTTTTGTCAGGGCAGGAGACTTATCTGCAAGGAATACTCTTAAATGCCATATGAAAACAATATTCTAGCAAATTTTAATGAACACTTAGAATTTTTGGGTTTGATTAGTTTGGTTTGGATTCTGTAACAGGACTGGAAAATAAACTTTCAAAATTTGCATAACCTTTGTTGGGTTTTTCTATTACATTTCACAAAATCCCATTAATTTTCTTTTGTTATATTATAATATGCATAAAACTCACTCTAAGAATAGCTATTTACTGGCTAGGGGGAAAAGCAGATAGAACTGTGTAGGAGAAATGAATTTAGGAAAACAGGAATAACAATTTCCTTTACCCATAAGACCTGATAGATATATTTAGGTTACAAATTGTTTCTGTTGACTCACCTGTGAAGCAGATTTGACATCCATACACTTAAGAGATACCTTAATGCAAATAAAAATCTTTCCCCTCCCCATTGATATTTTGTATATGATTCTCATATGACTGAACTCAGCCAGCCTAACTAAAAAATACTGTTCTTTCCACCCTACAAAAAGGATGATTATCATGGCAACACAAAACCAGTCAAAACTTCAGTACAAAAAAACCCCAAAACCAAACCAATTATCTAACACAAACCACAATTCATTTCACTCAGCCTCATGTTAGGGAAAAAAAAAAAAATCTTTATTTGCTGTGGCTTGTACAAGGAAAAGCACTGTAGGCAGAGATGCTGGCCTTTCACCACATTACACTCAAGAACACTCTGTA